ACACATGAAGACACCAGAGACACATGAAGACACCTATAGACACATGAAGACACCTGAAGACACCAAAGACATCAATAGACACCTGAAGACACCAGAGACACCTGAAGACACCAGAGACACATGAAGACACTAGAGACACCTATAGACACCAGAGACACCTATAGACACCTGAAGACACCAGAGAAATATGAAGACATCAGAGACACCTGAAGGCACCAGAAGACACCAGAAGACACCAGAGACACATGAAGTTAACCAGAGACACCTATAGACAACTGAAGACACCAGAAGACACCTGAAGACACCAGAGACATCAATAGCCACCTGAAGTCAAAAGAGACACATGAAGACATCAGAGACACCTGAAGACACCAGACACCTAAAGACACCAGAGACACCTCTAGACAACTGAAGACACCTATAGACACATGAAGATACCAGAGACACCTGAAGACACCAGAGACACCTGAAGACACCAGAGACACCTGAAGACACAAGAGACTCATGAAGACACCAGAGACACATGAAGACACCAGAGACACCTATAGACACCAGAGACACCTGAAGACACCAGAGACACCTNAGACACCAGAGACACCTGAAGACACCAGAGACACCTATAGACAACTGAAGACACCAGAGACACCTGAAGACACCAGAGACACATGAAGACACCAGAGACACATGAAGACACCAGAGACATCTATAGACACCAGAGACACCTGAAGACACCAGAGACACCTATAGACAACTGAAAACACCAGAGACACCTGAAGACAGAAACACATGAAGACATCAGAGACACCTGAAGACACCAGAAGACACCTGAAGACACCACAGACACATAAAGACACCAGAGACACCTGATGACACCAGAGACACCTTTAGACAACTGAAGACACCTAAAGACACATGAAGACACCAGACACCTGAAGACACCAGAGACACATGAAGACACCAGAGACACCTATAGACATCTGAAGACACCTATAGACACCTGAAGACACCAGAGACATCAATAGACACCTGAAGACACCAGAGACACCTGAAGACACCAGAGAAACATGAAGACATCAGAGACACCTGAAGACACCAGAGACACATGAAGACACCAGAGACACCTATAGACAACTGAAGACACCAGAGACACCTGAAGACACCAGAGACACCTGAAGACACCAGAGACATCAATAGACACCTGAATACACCAGAGACACCTGAAGACACCAGAGACACATGAACACACAAGAGACACATGAAGACACCAGAGACACATGAAGACACCGGAGACAACTATAGACAACTGAAGACACCAGAGACACCTGAAGACACCAGAGACACACGAAGACACCAGAGACAACTATAGACAACTGAAGACACCTATAGACAATTGAAGACACCAGAGACACCTGAAGACACCAGAGACACATGGAGACACCAGAGACACCTGAAGACACCAGAGACACATGGAGACACCAGAGACACCTATAGACACCTGAAGACACCAGAGACACATGGAGACACCAGAGACACCTATAGGCAACTGAAGATACCAGAGACACATGGAGACACCAGAGACACCTATAGACACCTGAAGACACCAGAGACACATGGAGACACCAGAGACACCTATAGGCAACTGAAGATACCAGAGACACATGGAGACACCAGAGACACCTATAGACACCTGAAGACACCAGAGACACATGGAGACACCAGAGACACCTATAGGCAACTGAAGATACCAGAGACACATGAAGACACCAGAGACACGAGACACATGAAGACACATGAGACTAATGAAGACACATGAGACACCTGAAGACAGAAGGACAGAGACTGTTTGGACCTGGGACAAACATCTGGGATTAGGAAGTGATACTTCAGCTACAGGAGACGTTTCGGCTAATAAGAGCTAAAGTACAGGACTCATACAGCTGACATTTGAGTTTAAGTTCTGCTGCTAAACTTTGAAGTCTCTCTGTGCACGTGAGGCTGTGCACGTTAGGCCGTGCACGTGGAGCTTTAAAGCCCTCATGCTGCAGGTGAACGTGCAGCTACATGTTGACAGACAGACACCTGGACAGTAGGTTAAAGCTAACTGTGGTATTTAGCTGATAACCATTAATATGACCATTAATCCCCTGGAGTCCCTGCATGTCCTGCGTGTCCTGCATGTCCCTACATGTCTTGCATGTCCCTGTGTGTCCCTACATGTCTTGCATGTCTCTGCGTGTCCCTACATGTCTTACATGTCTCTGCGTGTCCCTACATGTCTTGCATGTCCCTGCGTGTCCCTACATGTCCTGCATGTCCCTGCATGTCCGTGCATGTCCTGCATGTCCCTGCGTGTCCTCGTCACATGACCAGTTTAAATCACTCTAGGGTGGACACAGACATCTGAGTGGACACTTGGACTACATGAGGACAGGACTGAAGTAAAGCTGCAGGTTTTAGTATTTAGCACAGATTTTTAAATAGTTCTGATTCAGGAAGTTTAAGGTTTAGTGGGCGGAGCCTATGAGAACAGCTGATTCTACTGGACAGACCAACCAAAACCAGACGTTTAACTAAAACTCTCCTGAATATTCTGAGAACATGTTTCTAAACCAACATCAGCTAAAATTAAAGCTGAAACATCAGAAAAACAGCTGAAGTTTTCTGTTTGTAAAATCTTTGTTTTTTTAATTCAACTCATCATTTCAGGTTTTTGTTCGTTTAGAGAAAATTAAAACTAAAATAAAAACTTTTTATTTTTCAGGAAGTCACAGTCCAACCAGACACCAGCAGGACCTCCTGGACCTGGAGCGACACAAAGACCACCTAGACCTGACATGAATACGCCAGGGTCCATCATTTGAGGGTCTGATCCTTCTGAGGCTCTGTAGGACTCTGCAGGACTCTGCAGGTCTCTGTAGGACTCTGCAGGACTCTGCAGGTCTCTGTAGGACTCTGTAGGACTCTGCAGGACTCTGCAGGACTTCAGTCTCCTCCAGAGACCAGATCTGTGTGTACTGCCTCTCATCACAAACATGAAGCTGTTCAGAACCACCTGCAGCGACCCGCGGACCACCAGAACTCCAGACAGCTGAAGTTGTGTAGAAACACAAGTTGTTGTTGTTGTTTTCAACATGAAACATGCATCAAATTAAAAAAATACATTTTTAAATTTGTCATAAAAAGTAAATAAATAAAGTTTGTTTTGAACCAAATAAAAGACGAAAGTTTAAATAAAATGTTTCATGTTTGTTTACTTGTTGATTTCCTCTGAGACAGTTTGTTCCTGTCAGAACAACTCACTGACCTCTGACTGAAAATAACAGAACATGAGCCCTGAAACACACACACACACACACACACACACACACACACACACACA